CCCCCCCCCCCCCCCCCCCCCCCCAGCTCCAATCTGCCCCCTGCTCTGTCTTCATTCCAAATCTGCCTCTGGGCCAGCCCCCTCCCGAGCCCCCGTTCCTTCTCTATCCCCAGTTATGCTCCCAGCTCCACCTTCAGGCCAAGCTGCTCTGCTGAGCTAACTGTTCAGTAATGGGGTGTGTGTGCACAGACCAGTTCCATTACTGATAAGGGGGATGCAAGAGAAGTAGACAACATGCCATAGGGCTTGGTTCCCATTGCTACTAAGAAGGGATGATTTACCATTTATAGGTCAAATTTGTCAGTTTCTGATTTAAACTCTGTTAATCTATGCATGGCTCTGCAGCCTATGTTTCAGTTTTCAGCCCAATTGGGAGCCATGCAGCACCTAAAGGACCAGTTGGAGCAAAGAACACGAATGATAGAGGCAAATATTCATCGGCAGCAAGAAGAGTTGCGTAAGATTCAAGAACAGCTTCAAATGGTCCATGGTCAAGGGCTTCAGGTTAGTTGCAGTTGGATTAACTTTAGTAAGGACTTAACTTTCTGTGTGCTGAACTCCACCAGTTTAGTTAAAATGGGTAATATTGGGAATGCCCTACCTTAGAGATTGTTGCTACAGACTGTCATTTTGCAGGGAAAAAATTCTGTATAATATTTGTCTCTATCCATTATAAGATTATTTTCCCTTCATTGCCTCCCTAAACTGCTGGAAAAAGAAATACAGTTTCCAATTAATATTGTCTTTTTCAAAATTTTGTACAATTGTCTTTGTACTTCTTTTTAAATGCAAACCTTAAGCTAAATATTTAGGGATCAAGTTCTCTTCACACCAGACTTACATTATATTGAATGGTGTTAAACCAGAACAAAACTGGTGCAAGAGATTTTAATTATGATTATCCATTTATTATAATATTCTTTTAAAGCCTCTGGTATCAACAGTTAATCAATATATCTATCTTGAATTGTTTTTCAAACATATTGTATTAAGAATTTTTAGTAATAGTTCAAGCCATCATAAGTTTGTTTTAAGAAAACTAATTTGTGGATTTTCTTAAAGATGTTTTTGCAGCAATCAACTCCTGGAATAAACTTTGGTTCTGTGCAACTTACTTCTGGAAATTCTTCTAGCATTCAGCAGCTTGCACCAATAAACATGCAAGGTCAAGTTGTTCAGGCTAATCAAATTCAAGGTGGTATGAACACTGGGCATATTAGTACTCAGCACATGATACAGCAGCAGCCTTTGCAGAGTACAGCAACACAGGTAAAGTTTGTCATAAGTACCAATACTAGGTAATATAATCACATAGTACCAGAAGTGAAACCTATAATGGTTCTGTCTGATTCTGAAATGATTCTGTATAGAGAACATTTCCACTGAAGTCAATGGAAATTTTGAATGTTCAAGAAACAGGTTCATGCCTTAAATGTTGATGGTTGAAATACATTTAATTTTCTGTTTCAGGAAAAGGCTTAGATTTCAGTCTTCTCTTGACAGAAAAATTATCAAATGTAAATGATGAGCAGTGAATAACAACTAGTTCTTTTGGAAAGACCCATCCTCGAGAGCAGGCTTTAGATAATTATTCTCCCTTTTCATTTGGCTTTTTCATTCAGCAGAGGAACGTGTTTAAAAATGTAACTTATAACGCCATAGAATTGGGTAAAGGACAATAAGAGCAGGTGCAGTACCTGAGAATACTTTAAACACATATTTAACTCTAATTTAGTAATGATGTCTCTTCATTTTAGTGAAGATTCAATTCAACTTTAGCCCTAGCAAGATGCAGGTGTTCTGGAGCCCTAAAGATTTCCATCCCCTACCTGTTCACATAGTCAAATCCCTAGTTTTTTTATTTCTAGCATCCTTGAAAGCCTGTTGTCTTGGTGCCCTGTATTTCCTTTACTCCAGATATAGCTCACTAAAGCTGATTGAACTAGTGCAAAGTGACATGCTCGCTCTCTCTCTCTCCCTCCCCATATCGCCTCAACACTTCCAGAGACTAAGCATGCTTACAACTGTAATTCTGCCTGACCTATCATTCTCCTTTTTGTGCGGTTGTCCTAAGGTTTTAAGAGCTTTGAAAGAGGAACTATGAGTAAGGAACTCCTAAATTCTAATCCTGGCACTAAAACTCACTGCGTGGTCTGGGGCAAATAATTTAACCTTTTTTTGTTTAGCTGTAAAAACTGGGATAATTAAGTATTTACATAACTTCGAAAGGTATTGTAGGAATGGATTAATTATTTTGTACAGTGGTTTAAAAGTATATAGTAGTATATAAGAACTTTTATTAGAATGTGCAATAATTAACAATTAATGTACAACATTTTTATTTATGCCTGAAAAGCAAGCTGTACCTTCTCTGAGTTTGAAAAGAGTATTTATTTTTACATTTTTATACCTGTATTTAATTAACATATTATGTATTTTTCTTTCTTAGCATACACAGCAAAATCTACTTAGTGGACACAATCAACAGACTTCTCTTACCAATCAATCACAGAATACACTTTCTGCCCCCTTGTATAACACTATGGTGATTTCCCAGCCAACAACAGGAAATGTGCTCCAGATTCCATCTAGTTTACCACAAAACAATAACCAGAGTGCTGCAGTAACTACTTTCACCCAGGACAGACAGATCAGGTAAAAATAAAGGTGCAATGTTCATTCAGATGATTTTGCTAGAGCTCACCATTCTTTAGTAGACATCAGATCTTACGGAAAAGGAGACAAAAGTTAAGCCAGCAATTTCATGAAGTTTTACTTAGTGCAATAAAACTGCACATTCTGTAGTCTGAAGACTAAATTTGCAAAGAGATACTCCTTTATCTCCATTAGAGCTTACCGTGTTGAGGCACTGGTGGAGTGGTGGGGTTTTAAGGGAAATATATAGCCCATTTCATCTGAATTTGCTTAGTTTGTAGTAAGCAGATGAAAACTAGGTTTATTTTGAATGATCATGTGAGTGATAAACTGGCACTTACCCAGTCAAATTGATATAGGAAAGTTCAGCCAGTGTACCTGAAGCTGATAGGAGCTTTTGATGTCTTTTTCCTTTAACAGGTTTTCTCAAGGTCAGCAGCTTGTCACAAAATTAGTCACTGCCCCTGTAGCATGTGGAGCGGTAATGGTTCCAAGCACTATGTTTATGGGACAGGTGGTGACCGCCTACCCCACTTTTGCTGCACAACAGCAGCAGACACAGACATTATCAATGACACAGCAGCAGCAACAGAGTCAGCAAGAGCAACAACAGCAGCTCAGTACAGTTCAGCAGTCGTCTCAAGCTCAGCTGGCACAGCATCCGCAGCAGTTCTTACAGGTAATGCAGCCCTGGCAAGAAATCTGTCAAATTGCACAAATTTTGATAGTGATGTAAACAGGTTCAGCATATTCTGCAAATTAAGAGCCTGAGTGTGTTTAAATAAGCAACTTTGTTAATCTCAGATTTAGTGATGTGCACTAGAGGAGGTTCTGTCATAGATGTTATTTAAAGTCTCTTGCAGTCTATTGTCAAGTTCACAAACAAGAACTGCAGTTTGAAAAATTTGTGGAGCATTAGAGTACACACCAGGGCTATGTCTAGATTACATCCCTCTGTCTAGATGCGGTTTTTCTTTCAAAAACGGCAAGCTTTTTTGAAAGAGTTCAATGACATGATTATGCAAATGAAGTGCAGGATATTTAAATCCCCGTTTCATTTACACTTTGGAAGTGCCTCATTTACATCCCTCTGTCAACAGAGGGATGTAATCTAAACGTAGCCTAGGAGTGGGGCATGGAAAAAAGGAGAGAAACAATGACAGGGAAAATTGTCATCCAGGTCCACCTCATTTCACCATACACATGATGATTTGATTCTAAGTAAAACAAAGGGGCAGGACTCTTTTTGTAAACCTCATATTCCCTCCAGTTTCCATGGTGGTCCACAATTAACAAGGTGTGAGAGCTGGCTCAAGGGGCATCATGCCAGCCTTAGTGTCTTTTCTCTGTTTCTGTGTAGCTGCAGAAGCACATATTGCCTGGGCCTCATGGAGATACCAGAGGATGCCAGAGTAGCAAATAGCTTTCTCACGAGTAAGGAGAGAAGCCACCATCGAGGGGAGAAGAGATTAACTCAGAGAGCAAAGAGAAGGGCAGGGAAGGGGTAACAGACTGCAAATAAAGAGCAAAAAAGAAAACGTATATTAAAAGTAAGAGAAATTAAAGATTGAAGAGGGTAAAGGTGAAGTAGAATGAACTAATAAAAGGAGAGGCAGCAGTGACATTGCAGAATCAATGTACTGGAATAGGTCTCTCAAGAAGGCCTAGAGAATGGGGCAAAGAGGGCATACCAGCTGCCAGTCCATTAGCGGGCAACCTGTTACAACCGAAACTTTGGAACCACTGAATTAGACACCAAACTATTTAGATCTGAAATTGTGTTGTCTTTGAAAGGAAGAACATCTCTTATAGCATCCCTAAATAGGGATGTGTGTGAGCATTCCATTAAAAGAATGTTAAGATTGCAACTTAGGTTCTTAGCTCAGCATTAGCTGTACTCAGGTCATTAGGGGTATGTGCTCTTATAAAGCCTTGAATTACAGTTGCTGCATATTTCTGCCTCTATTGCCATAGTACTCCTAGCTACTGGCATTACAGAGGTCCATTAGTTGCTTTGTTTAAATGTTGCAGATATGAATACTCTGTAGTTAGTTGATTTATTCTGAATGAATCTTCATGTTGTACAATTGTAAGTGAAAGTACTCAGGGTCCTATTGATATTTAACTACATGTGATAGTTTAAAAAGGTAACTAGAGTTGCATTTTCATAATTGGGCAATAATAATCTTATATTTCTTTTTAGACATCCAGGATACTTCATGGAAATCAATCCACTCAACTTATTCTCTCTGCTGCTTTCCCACTACAACAAAGCACTTTTACTCAATCACACCACCAGCAGCATCAATCTCAGCAGCAGCAGCAACAACTCTCACGACATAGAACTGACAACATAACTGATCCTTCCAAAGTTCAGCCACAATAGCATGGGGATTTGCTTCTTCTAGAAGCAAACAGCAGGGAGGGGCTGCTCCATAATCAATTGCACTGATGATAGTAGAGGTAGAAGTCCAAAGGCTTTATAAAGTACAGTATTGAGGTCTACTTCTAACTTCTGGGAATCTGTTTGCAGAAGAAACTACTACAGAATGTTGTGAAGGTACCTTAGGTACAAAACAGCAAAAGATAACAGGCACATGGCCAACTTTGACAGTGTTTTAGTTGTCCCAATGTTTGTGTTCTAAAGGATGTGCTGCCACATAATAACTTGTCCAGGTCAAGTCTCAAAGCTTCAGTGAACTGAAAAGGGTACTAAAAATTGGTATTTTTAGTAGTCCTGTAGGTTTGTCGGTTGTGACCATTGACATGTGGTTGCTCAAGATAATGCTACAAATACAGTCCAAAAGACATTTAATTTTTTTTTTTCAGATTATTATGGGACAAGTAAATATTTTCAGAATATTGTGTGGAATCAGATTCTGTATTGTACAGATGTTGTAAAATAATGTGTATATGTCTGGATAAAAGGAGAGAGCAAAAATATTTTATATGATGCATGAAAATGTAATCTTGTTGTTTGTAGCTTTGAATATGTTTCCCTAAATTCTCACCATGCTCAGACTAATATTTTCCTCTTTTGCCCTTTTGTTTACAACATGATGCATCATAATTTTCACCTTTAATGTGGGCACAAGTCTCTTGTTTGTGCTTTGTCTGCGATGTCACAGTTTGTTCAGTGAGGTATAGTGTGCTGGTCAGTGGACTTTCTGGAGTTAAATTATTGATGAAACTTTTATCTGATGGTCACGCATCAGGGTTCAAGACATTCAGATTTCAGAAATATCATCCATTATTTCACAATTATTCATTGTTTTTGATTGAAAATAGGAATTTGCACTGCTTTATTGTTGATGGTTTGGAATTTTACTCCCCAATGCTATCTTTTGATATAGATCATAGTTGGAAATATTTATGTAAAAGGTTTAAAAAAACTCATGAAAGTAATTTTCAAGAATGTGTCAGTTATAGGAGTAATTTGCACAACAATATATTTACACTTAACATTTTAGGCACTTTTTAACCACCTCTGTGGTGAGAATTGTAACTTGTTAAAATATGTTGGAATCTTTTTATTCTCCTTTTAAAAATTAGATCTTTCTTTAGTCAGAACTGATTCAGGGTTATTTTAAAACAAGAAACCCATAGTGCCTTGATTTTAATTCAGGTGATAACATTGAACATCTTGAATTATGTTGTCTTGAATCTGTTACAATTTTACAATTTTGAAGTCTTAGTGCAATCTCAACAAAAGGTGTGTCAACTTCATAGCTTTATCTCATTTCGTTCATGTATACAAGTATTTTAACAGTTGTCTGAGTCATGAGTATTTTTAAAAGGAGTGGCTCCCCCCTCAAACAGTAAAATGGAAATTGATATTAAATGATTTACCTATAAAATATAAAGGCAGGGGCTGTGCTCTTTAGTAAGCTGATACTTTTTAATTAGATCAGATCCAAATTTACTTTGACTGGAATTTAATGGAAAAATAAAGGGGATTAGGACTGCATGTTTAACACTGAGTATTGATTTGTAAGGGATACCACTAAATTAAGACTTCAGAAGGCAACCTCACTTCTTAAAGATAATAAAAAGTTCCAACAGAAATTATTTGCTATTTTTAAATGTTCAGTAGATTTCTATGGTACTAATTCCTACAAACTACATCTGCAGAGTAAAGTGAGTTAATACCAAGCTAGACTACCAAAGTAGACTTGGTAGTTAAGAGAAAATTAATTAAATTTAAGACTGAGGAGGGAATGTTTTTAGTCAAGAAGATGAATTTAAATTAAGAGTATTAGGGAGAGCTGTATGAATGTAATTAAATTATGGTTTAATATTAAATAATAGAAACAGTTTGATTGTATTATTGGGTGAACAAAGCTGACTTAAAGGTAGAGCTAATTTAGTGAGCACTAGATTCAGTTATTTTTTTGAGGCGTCTTCCTAAAATTAGCCTTGCCTCTCCACTGTCATCTCTTCATCAGAATAGCCCCCACGCTCCAAATGATAAAACAGCAGATCAATAGTGGACCCTGGAAGAATCACATTGGAAAAGGGAGGTGGGCATAAGAGGTAAAGAACCAAAGAGAATTGGATTGGTTTCTGCTGTAGGAAGCCTCTTGCAACAAGGAGCAGGACAGGTACAAATATTAAACATATCCAGGAAACTTTCCATCTCTATGCTCTTTAAAGGGATTTCTGTCATTCCCTGAACCAGTACTATTGTAAGAAACACATTTTTTAAGCTATAGAAAAGCAAAACTGCATTGAATTTTTTTTTATTTCAAATTGCCTTGCTTAATCCTGCCATACCGTTCCGCCTGTATCCAAAATTTAAGCTGCATTGACCAGAGGTCCATTCCATAAAGACTTTTAGTGGGAAATAGACCTGGTAGATAAAAGTTTTGACTTAATTACAATAAAATAGCACTAAAGAAAATTGGGAGAGCTTTAATATTACTCTTAGAATTATAGTATGGTGGTAAAACTAGCTAACAGGCTGAAACATTTGCAGTTACAGAAAAAGAGCATAACCAGCAGACAGCTGAGGGTTTTAAATATAAGATTCACTCAAACCCCCTTTCAACCAAAAAAAATACTGTGGAAGATCAGACAATAAAAAGGCAGCCTAACCTAGGTGTGAGGATTTTTTAATTGACGTAGCTATTGGAAGAAGATTAAGAGGAAACATTCTGTATTTCTATGAAGAAGCCTTCCATAAGCTCAGAGGGAGAAGTCATCCAAAAACGAAGCTATGATTTCCTGTTAGCTGATAAAGAGAAATGGGTGGAGGGAATCATTAAATACATTTGAAAAGCTTCTGTCACGATTCAGGCAAATGTTTAGAAGAAAAAACTGAGAAAGCACACAGTATTTCACTGTCTCAATTGGTGTGGATGCTTTCCTTCTGTTTCACTGATTATTAAATGATTTGTGTCCAAATGAGCTTACTTCTACTCCTATTAAAGTCAATTGCAAAACTCCATTGACTTCACTGAGAAGAAAATGGGCCCCAATCTGTTCTCTCATCCAATCAGCCTGTTTCTGCCCAGCTTATTTGCTGGTCTGGCAAACCTGTTGTTTGTGACATCCTAGATATCACAGCAGCAAATGCTATAATGTGTACTATTGCAGAATGACTCTGACAGGAGTGAGGACGTTGGCTCAGAAGGAGAAAATGTTGCATTATGGTTAAATGCCTTGGTGACGTACAGTTAAGTAAAATATCATGCTGTATTTTCTTAAGAGTTTTGATGAGAAAATTAAGTTTGCCTGGTTTGGGTGAGAACTCAAGGAAAAGCCTCAGAATTTCAGAGAGAAAAGAAATATAGCTATTTTTATATTATATTTAATATATATTTGTATATAAATATGAAAAGATTATAGTAAGAATTCTCCATATGCCTTCCATTTTATGGGAAAGTTTACCTCCTGGTGCGATGGCTCCAGTGTATCAATATCTTTGTAGACATTATGCCTGCTGCCAACCAACATCAAAGTTAATTATCCCAAATCCTTACAAGGGATAGGCCCCAGTTCAGCAGTACACCCTAACTGGAAGCATGTAAGTTAGTCCAGTTTTAGTCAGTGCTGCCATAGCTTCTGAATAGGGTCCTTAGTTCTCAGCAGTGCCCATGCCAGCAATTTTTCATGGGTAAAAGAGAAACCCTTGCAAGACTCAAGTAGCACAGTTTTAAAAAGTCTTTGGGAATAATGAGAAGCACTTTACTGAAAAGAACCATTTGGAGAACAGTTAATTATTTTAGGCAATGGAACAGTTCAAAGGGAGCCCAAAGGAATCAGAATGTAGAAAATTGTCAAAAAGAGACATTTCTGGAAAATGTTTCTAAATGCGGTGATCCTTTGAGGCTCTAAGTCTGAGATTAAAAAGGCATCTAAAAATGGTTTGTTTTGTTTTAATATGGCCTTGAGAGAGGCTAAATCTACATAAATATTAGCTTCTGTTAGAGTTTTATTTGAAAGTTGCACAACTGCCTGTGAGAGAAATGATCAGGAGGCATATTAGCCTGTTCAGTCATTCTAAACAGCCCCTGGGGTTATAATTTGCATTAAAATATGTGTAGAGGGTTTACAGCTGTGGCCTTTAGTAGACTACTGCAGTCACCAATTCTAGAATAACTAGTATTCTTACAGATGAAACCAGATGTAGTTATGAGTGTATTTTAAGTGTTATGGCATCATGCAGTGTTAGTACATGCATGTTAGATTCATAAGTGTCTCCATTTGAAACCATTCTTGAAACAAGATACACTTTGAGAATGACTGGGGAAATTATTATTTTTGGCTGAAAGGGAGAGACTTTTTTTTACTCATCCCCAGTGGAAGATGTTAAAAGCTATTTGAAAATAATTGGGATAAAGAATTTTGTATGCATTATATTTGAAGTTAAATGTTGAATGACTCATAGTAAATGAGAACAATTTTGAGATTTTTAAATTAAATGTTTGTCCATGAGACTTTTTAATATCCTGATTTTAACACTACATTCCTTGTTTTTTTTCTTTAATAAACAAGTAATTTACAGGCTCTGTTTGCTTCATGCTTTGTCATCTGCATGGGTTTTGCCAGCATGGTATGCTGTTATTCGGAGAAATTGTACCTATAAATAAAAAGGAAAAAAATAAAACCAAAACACTGTGTATAAACAAAATACTGTATTGCCTACTATGGCGATTCCAGCGAACACTGAGAGGTGCTGCACTAATAGACAATCAAAATGAATGACTATCTATGAAAGACTTTTGAGAATGGTCTTAATGTAACTGCTTTGAAAGCAGTTGGGTTTTTTAAATGAGGAAAAATTATTTCTTTTAAAATATATCAATTGGATTAAATTTTGAGGTTTTAAGCAGTGTTGATTTCACAGTGTCTTGGGATTTGATTTGGTTTTGTATTTTCTAACTGGCATTAGATTTGTATATGTAGAAAACGAGTGCCGCTCATACTGACGTCAGGAAATGTAGATACAATTCCCTAGTGTTCATGTGACCATTACTAACTGTCAATTTTTTAATTGAATAAATGTAACTCATTTGAAATTCTACTTCTTGTAGCTTCTAAGGTTCTGGTAACTTTTCTAATTTCACTTTTATATCCTAGAGATTTCCATGGTTAAATGTCTCTTACATTTGAACAAATATACCAAAGGCACTTCTTTTTAACCTCTTCCTCCATACCTCAACAAAGAACAGTAAGGTGGCAAATTGGGAGTGAGGTTATATTAAAAATGTATGTTGCACTTTTTCTTGCCTATTTTCAGTATCGCTTCATAAAATGCTGGCCTGGCCTGCCGATTACAGAGATGTCAGCGTTTCTTGCATCTTGTGATGTTTCCAGTCCTCATGTAAGAGAGATAAAACAGATGGTAGTCTTAGTAAAAATAATCTGATGCTTTCAAATAATAGTATTACCTGTGCAGATTATGCCCTTGGATATATCTGTATATTCTTCATGATGTGTAGGTGTAACAGAAGGGCAGAATTTGACCTAATTTATGTGTCTTCCTTATCTTGAAACTGATCACGTTTGTATTATTTTAACGTACTATTTGCAAGTGAAATGTTTTAATAATGAAGTGCGAAGTCATACATTCAGCTAATACAACTGATACAGAGTACACATTAAAGGCCTTCCTTACACCCACATAAATAGGAGTTCTGTATGCAGATCTGGGGCAGCATGGAACCTAATGCAATAGTTTAACGAAGCAGATTGGACCAGATCCTGCTCTCACACTGAAATAAATCCACTGACTTCCGGTTGGCATTGGGGTTACTCTGGAATGTGGAATTGGATCTGAAAGTATGAAGCTGTACCCTGTAACTAAAGATACTGGGGATGTGGTAAACATGCTAAAAGGTTTATTTAAAAAAACTTTCCAGGCAAACTAACACACCACTTCATTGTCAGAACATTGATCATTTCACGTTGGGAGTGAAAATGTACTGATGCAATTCCATTGCTGGCAATGAGTGCACAGAAACTGGGGGAAGTTAATGCAGAATTAGTCCTATCAATTCTTTAGCTGAAAAACTAATGACCTCTAAATGGTGGTGTCTTGTTGTAAAAAGACAGTTTTCTTAGAAATGAAATTGGGAAATATCAATGTATTTTCCTAGAATCCTAGAAGAGCTGTAATTCAAACTGCTGCTATAACTGAAGCAGTATTGTTCAGTAACATTTCACTGTTGTACAAGTTTGGGAACCAGCACCTTATTTATACAAGACCCGTAACTGTTGAATATTTGTAAAGATTAAAAATCCATAGTCTAGTTAACTCCAGCACTACTTTCTGCCTCAAAAGGCTAGTGGAAAAAAGTATTTAATCTTTGTAAATGTATTGTTGAGCTTGAGTAGTAGTTAAAACAACATGAATAATTTTCACTCTTAACATGAATTGTGCTGTATAGAGTTATGGATGCACTGTTTTCTCCATTACTATCACTACTGATTGGGTCTTGAAATGAATTTTCATCATCCTAGTCACCTTGAGGAAATTTTTAAAAATGTGTGGTACATGCTATATATAAACAGGTGGCATGAGTGAATGAAAAGCTTTTTTTTCCTTCCCAGAGAACACAGCTGGTGTTGCAAATGCTGTCTATGCTAGCCAACTTCATCGCTGTAATTCAACACTGATGGTACTAGTCTGGTGGTAGCAATTTTTGGAAGTGATAATATAGACAGAATTCTGTCATTTTGGTGGTGACGTTTGTTGGTGTACACAAGGCCAAATAGAGCCATGTGCGGATACTAAATTTGTATCTGCATTTGCAAAAATGATATAAAGCAAATACCTGCATATTTGCTGAGTTCCAGATTCAAAATTTGTATTGCAGCCACATCCCTATCTGCAAAAATGAGCTGCAGATATCTACAATTTGCAAGGCTCTAGAAATAGTAACTTTAACTTGGTAAAACTTCCTGGCCACAGTTGCTGAGCAAGAATGACAATTGAAGAGATTTAGCTTAGTTCATGGTCTGGGAGATTAAATAATAGATTTTTTGGTTAGCATGAGACCCTATATTAACCTGTGTAGGGTAAATGGCTGTGTCGCAAATCTTGCTCCTTTACTTCTGTGAAGTCAATGGGGCAACTTCTGTGAATAAGGTCTGCAGGATGGGATTATAAAAGAACTATGACAGGAGGGGTTTCAGATGAATAGATTACTGACATGAGTAAGAGTTCCAGGATCCAGGCTGTAAAATCTAGCATGAGTCGTACTTAGGACTAGACTCAGGCTTGTTTTCAGGTATAATCATAGAGCAGCTTAAGGAAGTTTGTACAAGGACAGTCTGTTACACATGGATCTAACCTATGCAGTCAGACTCACAACCACAACATTTACATTAAGTAGTTGTGCATAAGATCTGTTACTAGGCTTTCTGGAATGTCTAACATTCCCATTGCTCTCCCGATACTTGTTTTATTCATGTTGTAGATTGTACTTGTACTTTGTTTTGGTCCAGTTTCTATTGAAAACTTTGCACTGGCAACATATCAAACCTGATTGTTGAAAAGTCTGGTGGTAGCTTAACCTCTCCCCTTTGTGTACTTGAACATACTGAGAAATAAGACAAAGAATTTTGCTTTACCAAGTTATCTTTAATTATGCTGATCTTTGTGCAGCTTTAAAAAGATAAGCAAGTTTGTACTAATCTTAAATTCTTTGTCCCCTTTGAAATAAACTGATGTCTTCAGAATTACAGCTCAACCCAACAGAGCCAAGTAGCAGCAGGTTTTTGGCTTTTTTTTGCTTCCATTATTAAATCTTGGAAATATAAATCACATGGAAAAACATGGGAAATGTTTTATTTCAGATTGGCTTGCCTTCACTGATGCCTGTGTGCATTGTTCACTACCTCAGCATTGCACTGAAATGTTTTATGGAAAAACTGACTTAATCTACTTAATTATGCTGTTTTTGTTTACATTCACTTGGCCCCAATATTACAGCTACATCTGTTTCCTCCCTATGAACAGAGGCAATCCAATTAACCTTGTTACTTAGAAACCTCTCTCTGTTCTTAGAGTAGCCTTTATGCGCAATGTACAGGTAACTGCTTAGACCATCCATTTGATGAGGGATGAGCACTACAGAGCTCTCATCTAGGGCTCTGTATTTATATATAAAAGCATCAGGCTGGAGCCAGGAAAAAATTTAGCAAACGATGGGACAAACCTACATTAGGTAAATGAAAACTTCACTTGCTCTTTCCTAGTATTTCAGTTGGGCAATTGCCAAAGCCCAAAAGAAAGCTTACTGGATGTTGTTACAGCCACAGCTTTGTGGGCTGTGATTTGCTGTGGAAAAAGCAGAGTAGCAGGACCTCCCTATTGCACCTGCATGGTGTTGGCTGATGTGTCAGCAACACAACTCTAGAGGAGCAGGCAGTTGGTGCGTCCCCCACTCCTAAGACAGGTGGGCTTCAGTTCTGGTGTTGCAGGCTCAGGGCATGGGGTGTTTGGTTCTAAGGCCTGGGTTCTAGTGGCAAGGCAGCAGGCTTCCCAGGCCAGTCCCATGGCCATGGGGCTTCAGGATCCAGCCATTTGCTGCCTCCTCTGGGCACCCACTCACACCCCATAGCTCCTAACCCCTACTGCCTCCCCTGAACACCAACAAGAAGGGTTTAATTTGTTCTTGGGCTTACCTGGACTGAATAAGTTTGCTGTGAAAAATGAGTGTATTAATATAATTGTTCACAACAGACTTAGCAGGTAGCAATAAATACATTATAATAATTTAGACATGCATATTTTGTTTCCTAAAGCTAAACAAGTAATTTAAGAAGTATTACACCAACCCACAACAATTGGTGACCACACTCTGAGGTACATCTACACTGGCATGATTTTGCACAAATATTTTAATGCAAGAGTTTTTGCGTTAAAAGTATTTGCACAAGAGAGCATCTATATTGGTCCGGGACTCATGGTAAGAACGATGTGCTTTTGCGGAAAAGCACGTGTACATTGGTGGCACGCTTTTGCTCAAAAGCAGAAGCCTGGAACCATTTTGAAGAGGGCAAAAGGGCACTAGCCCTTTCTGGGGGCAGAGGCTGGAGCTCTTTTGAGACGCGTGCTTAAAGGGATCTCCCTGGACAGCCATTTCTCTCCTGCTGTGTGCTATAGGACCTCTTGCAGGGACTGACAGCCGTAGCAGTTCTACTTGTGGTTTCCCTCTGCTTGTTGGACACCACTACCTTGTGCCTTAGTGCCATTAACTGATTTTTTGGACCTTAGCTCTCTTTTTGTGCCATGGAGCCGGGGTGGCCTTGTGCCTGCTCTGGCCCCTTCCAGCCATTTTGGAGTGCCTGAGGCTGCTGCTCCAGGCTGCTGCATTCCTCTTCCAGGACCTCACGGTGCAGATCACTCTGGACTCCCTCACCAGGGAGGCCATGGCGTCCCTGTGCCATCCCCACCCCACCGTGCAGAGGTCCTTATGGAGACTGGACACCAGTACCGACTGGTGGGACCGGCTGGTCCTGGGGCAGTGGGACGACCAGCAATGGCCCCGGAAGTTTTGCATGCAAAAGCAGACATTCCTGGAGCTGTGTGCCTGGCTCACCCCTGCGCTCCAGAGAACCGGCACCCATCCCCATCGACAAGAGGGTTGCCATCGCACTGTGGAAGTGGGGGGGGGGGGAAGGGTGCTGCACTCCATGCCCAGGGCAGGCAAGACTCCCTTACACAGGCCTGCTGGTGGGGAGGGAGGGGTCATGCAGTGAGGGGGCCCTGGTGCGTGTGTGTAGGTATGAGGACAGAGGGCATCACGGGGGGCACCCCCCCACCCAGGGAGCATGCAGTCACCCTGCCTTATGTGATGTGTTCCCCTGCACCTTTTTGCAGTCGTCTATGCCATCAATGACATCCTGCTCCCGAGAGTCATCCGCCTATGTACTATGGAGGCTACGCTAGCCGGCTTCGCTGCTCTCGGGTTCCCCAACTGTGGGGGAGCCCTGGGTGCAATCCACATCCCTGTCCGTGCCCCGGAGCATCAAGCAGCCCATTTTATAAACAGAAAGGGGTATTTCTCAATTGTACTCCAGGCCCTCATGACCGCTTCCTGGACATTGGTGCAGGCTTGTCCGGCATTGCACATGATGCCCAGCACTTTCTTCCCCCAGCGGGAATTTACTGTTGGGGACATGCCCATGCCAATATGTGTTGTGGGGGACGCGGCCTACCCCCTGCTGCCCTGGCTAATGTGGCCCTACACGGGGCGGCTGGACCACAACTGGACCCGGTTCAACTACCGCCTCAGCCAGGCCTGCAACCAAGTGGAGTGCACCTTCGGGCATCTGAAAGCCCGGTTCCATTGTTTGCTCACCTGTCCAGAGATGGGTGAGTGGAATGTCCTGGAGGTACGGGCTGCATGCTCCACAATCTCATGGAGCCGAGGGGAGGCCTTCCTCCCAGTATGGATGGCAGGCAAGGGCCAGGCCTATGAACAGCCCTGCATAGCTGCCATCTGCCAGGCGCACCACAATGCAGTATTTGCGCAAGAAGCACTGATTTCTTACATTAGAAGGTCAGTGTTCTTGTGCAAAAACTCACAGCCAGTGTAGACAGGTGGCAAGTTTTTGCCCCTCCCTTCCCCTGGAAGTGGATTAACTACACAGACAGGCCAACTGTCTTCCTGAAGTGCTACAGCTAGACAGGTGGAGGCACAGGGTTTGCCTTCATGCCAGCTGAACACGAGCTGCATAATCTGAGCAAGAGCAAAATGCTCTTGAGAAATGACAGCTGCTGCTTGATGACTTTTCCCAGATGTTTAGAACACTTAAGCAGCAAGCTAATCCAAATGCAATGTATGTAAAGGTTCATTTTTCTGGAAAGTTTGATAGTGGTGTAAATAATTCACTTTACTATACTTGCACTTTCTCTTTCTAGGAGGCACTTTTGAGGGTTACAATAGGTTTTGGGAAGACTGTTCTAGAAAGGAATGTCTTTCTTTGAGTAAGGATGCAATGCTGTGTGGGAGAGTTGCTGTTATTGGAGCTAAAGGAGCAGCAACTTTTTATAAATATATACTACAACCTTTTGGCCCAGACAATCTTTTTAATCAAGGTTTGCCTGCCTAAGATGTTTCAAGTTCAAGGGTTTGTAAAAGTTACATTTCAAACCTACAAGTTAAGACTATTCAAGTTTTCACTTTGTCAAACTCACTGTGCATATATGTTGAGGTCCCTGCTAAAACCATTGATCATGGATTGTACTTTACAGCAGTCTGTTACTGCATGTATTTCAGCTTAAAACACTGCATTATACCCCATGCACCTAGTGTGAATTCAGAAGCCAACTTTACATTGTAAAAACAGCAGAGCACCTACAAATATATATCAGTAATGAAAATGACATTACCACTCCAGCCAGTCAACATAGCTGCCTTTTTCAACAGCATCAGGATAAAAAATGATCCTTTCCCTCAGTGCACAGAGGCATCCATTATTTTGCTCTCTAACAAAATTAAATGAACCACTATCACAAAAGGAAGCTGAAAGTAACTAAAATGGAGATAGCTATTTTATTTACAGACCCCCCAATTACACTATTGAAGAAAATATGGACACATCTCAATCTGAAAGATTTGCATTATTGTTCAAATTTGGGAATGCAGCATTGTCAAATATTGACCATTTTATTACTATGATGTATATTATAAGTTAACTTAATACAAAAGAGAACTGGTTAAGTAAAATTCAGATCTAGATGGATTGTTGAAAACAGTACATCATGAGTCAGCATGTTTGTTTACTTCCTACCATAGCCCCCTGATTAAGATATTTGCCTTTTTTTTAAAATAAATTCTAAAAGTTTTAGGAGGTGGTTCAGTCACTTGATGGCATGGGAGCTGCTCTCAGGTTTCTTAGGCTACCAGGGCATCCTGGAAGTGAAGTGTGAGAGTCAATGATTTTCTCCCTAATACAAATTTCCAAACAGGAAGTAACATAATAATGCCTGTTGACAAGTCAACTGCTCAGGTAACCAGATGGATAAGCTCTAGAACAGACAGCAGTAGTGATCATGTGGAACAGAAGAAGGAAGCCCCCTGTTTGGATGCAGATCCTCAAAACCCATCTGATCAGGTTCAGCAAGCAAGAAAGCCACTCAGATCTTGTGAGGCACCCAATCACCACATAAATACACCTTGCAAACTGGACAGGAAGCATATCGTCATGGCATATGGTCCATGAATGTGCCAGACTCAGAAATCATTGTTATTAAAGTGAAGTATCTCATTCAGTGCTTGTCTAGCAACAATACTGTACATCATATATAGCAACACAGGAGAACAAGCCCGTTGCTCCCAATCCTTTCTTTTTAAAGAATGAAAAAAAAAACTTGTTAAAAACCAGATTCTGGGCTTATAAATAGTGCAGAGAATGCAAATGCCAAGAAAACAATGCCTCCTATGATTGTCACTGAAAGAGAAAAAAGAAAAAAGTTAGATGTTGCAAACAGTATTTTTACCTGTACAAGTTAAATGCGCTTCTACCATGCCTCCTGGAGCTCCATTTTCATAGACTTGACTTCCACATTCAGATTTTATTTAAACTGCCCACTCTAGAAATTATTTCTGGCTCACGCAGCACCCTGCCATGGCGTATCCTGTGTCATCCTACTCTCTAGCAGCACCCATGTAAAACATATTTTGACTCTTAGAATCAAAACCAAGTTTCATTGTGTATGTATATTATATATAAACCAGAAGAAGATGCAGTTAGATCCCCCCCCAGAATTGAGACATTCTACCTTACTCAAAGACAAAGGTGCAGTCACAAAGGGCAAATGTTGATAAGTACTGCTAGTATAGTTCTCCAGAGTCTACCCACACTGAAAAGCTGACTTTACAAACATTACAGCTCCACTCCAGGGATCAGAGAAATTGTATCATAATGTCTCTCAGCAGCATACAAGTCACTCTTTGCTGATAAGATAGTAACGTTTCCTTGGCCAGTGTAAAGAGGGAATTAAGTTCATAGTGTTTATTTTTAAAATGTGTGCATGCTAATGCTGCAGAAATGAATTTTCTTGATGTGACCTATACCTTTTCTGAGGGCAAGAAAATAAAGACCAACAGTACATTTGGAACAAACAATGGCCCGCCTCCAAGATGGACATATCCCTCCTAACCAAAATATAAACACACTTGCTATGCCTAACTGATGCTCTGAAAAGCAGTTGTTCCACATGAATAATAGCTCTAAAAAGGTTATAGCAGGCCTAACCCTCATAGGTTTCATCCTTTGAAAGACCCAGCTTAAACTACTGGAGGGTACAATCCCTGCTGCTGTTTGCCACAGAGATTAAGATTTTCTTCAACCTCCATCCACAGAGATCTAAATTTTTGACTATCTTCACTTTATTTTAAATGCCTGATATTGGGATTCAGTACCCCCTCAAACTCAAGTCACAGTAAGAAAAGACTAGCTACATTACCAAACGTGATTGTGATTGAGCTCCTGGACTGAGCTCCTCCACAGCATATTCTTAGCTTGGTTAGTTCTACTTGCAGAGAAAAGATACATGCTGCGGTGAAAAGTAGGTCGCGTCCACACTGTGGTGTATAGCACCTTATGTCCATAGACTCCAGCAACAGAGAAACAATGTGAAAATAGCAGTGTGGTTGGAAGACACTACGTAGGTGAGTAGAGAGTCATATAAAGTATATATCATATGATTCAAGTGTATCTTCACTCTCCCTCACCTAAGCTATTCCTCACCATTTATACTGCTATTTATACCCACGTCGGGAGTGGGGGGGGGGCAAGAAGTGTGATTTGTAGATATACCTTCAGAACTCTCCTCTATAGTAGGTGCAGTCAGGTGAAAGGCAGAGGATCAAATCTTCACAAAAAGAGGGTAAAGAGGAAGCGAGAAGTGCTAAGGGCAGCTGAAAAAGCCTCAGGGAGATTGACAATCAAAAATTAAGTTAATACACTATGTTACTAGCTCCTTAATTTCTTTAGCATTAAAAGCCCTGGCTTTAACTACATCCCAAGTGTGCATGCCATCATTTTCATTCTGATGATTCCTGAAATAAGCTACTGTTGTGTTAATTTTTTTTCCAATAAAAATGAAATTTCACTTACCAGTCCTAACAGAAATTTTTTGTGCTATCATCCTTCCTCCAATAACTGCTAAACCAGTGCATAGACAGTGTCCCACTGTTCCTCCCACTGCCACACCATAGGGATCCTATGCAAACACACAAGATCAACTTTAACAGGTGAAAATCTACACAATAGTCTACCAGAAAAAAAATATGCTTTCCTAGTTCAGCTCAAGGCAAGGGAACCCTCAGAGAATATTGTCAAATATGTTAGGAGTTCTGCATGGTTTCATAGCAGTTGCCTCCTGTAATACTGAGGTATGGTCACAACAGTAAAAGACTTAAAATCTTGTAAGTCAACAGCTGCCTATTACACCACTGAAAAGCAAGCATCTTGAGTGTGGAGACTGGCAGCTAGCTGAAAACAAAGTAACACTACACGATTATCAGAGGGGTAGCTGTGTTAGTCTGAATCTGCAAAAGCAGTGAGGAGTCCTGTGGCACCTTATAGAAATTTCCACTACATGCATGTGACGAAGTGGGTCTTTGTCCATGAAAGCTTATGCTCCAACACTTCAGTTAGTCTATAAGGTGCCACAGGACTCCTCGCCGCTACTACACAATTAGAAGTACACTTAGCTCAAAAGTTATTAAATGCCAATTGAAATCGTGAAGAGGAGCTTTTGGTAGAGTACAAGCTATTTACTAGAAGTATTTTGTCCAGATCCATGAGGCTAATACATTTTCTCTAAAGAGGCCACACAAAGGAGTATGAAGTCAGGAGGGCTGGAACTAGCCTAGCTGAAAACTTATTTTATTCTAGATTTATGTCACAACTGTAACATCACTGGATGAGTTTTCAACTGCATATATTTACTTATTCAATACTTAATTGGATAGCTAGGTTTTACTTATAAACCACTTTACAAAATTGAAGGTGTTAAGAGTTTATTTTTGTTTAAAAAGTTACTGGAGGGGTAACGTAAAAGACAAGAGACAATAACTGCTATACAGATCCAACATGGCAGTAAGAGTTACAATCAGCTTCTATAGGTATCCTCACCTTCTGTCTTAAATCCAGGGGCGGATATAGGGCAGGGCGAACGGGGCAGCTGCCCCGGGCCCCGCGCTTCAAAAAACCCTGCGCATGCGCCGCAGCGCATGGCAAAGGGGGGGCCCCGCGGAATTATACTGCCCGGGGCCCCGCGGAATTATACTGCCCGGGGCCCCGCAAAACTGTCATCTGCCCCTGCTTAAATCTACAAAAGGTAAAAAGTAGGAACTGGGTGCTGTGCCAGACCCAGCAGGCTGCTGCATTCTAATGCAGGGCAGATGTGCCAAGCTCTGGGTAAACAGTTTCCTCTTCCCAGAGTAAACAGGGCCAAGCCTAGTGCAGTATAATCAGGCAGCCACCCGGGGCCACTTATTAGCTTGCTGGAAGCAGCAAGCTAATCAGAGCATCTACAGCCCATTAAGGCCTGTTGCAGCTTGCTTATAAGGGCTCCCTGCAGAGAGGGCAGGGGGTGTGGAAGATATGGGAGTGAGGAGGTGAAACTGTGTACAAGATGAGGACTGTGATTAAGACAGAGTGCCATGGAGGAGCAGGATTAACTTGTTCAAATACCAAAGGAAAGGTACTGGGAGGGATCGTTTAGAGAAGTGGCCCAGGGAAGAAGCTGCTAGACTGGGAGTAGAATAAACCCTGCCGGTTGCCACTGCCTTAGGTTCCCTGGGCCAGAACCCTGAGTAGTGGTGAGCCTGGGTTCCCCCCAGCCCTCCCCACACCACTACCAAGTCTCCCCCTGAGAGGGAAGAACAGGACTATGGAGGTTTTGTTTGTTTTTACCCCAAACTGTAAACTAGCCTGTGATGAGTAAGGCTCA